TTCATGATATTAAGTCTTCCTATCCATGAGCATGGAATGTTTTTCCATTTGTTTGTGTCCTCTCTTATTTCGTTGAGCAGTGGCTTGTAGTTCTCCTTGAAGAGGTCCTTTACATTCCTTGTTAGTTGTATTCCTAGGTATTTTATTTTCTTTGTGGCAATTGTGAATGGGAGTTCACTCATGATTTGTCTCTCTGTTTGTCTGTTATTGGTGTATAGGAATGCTTGTGATTTCTGCCTGTTGATTTTGTATCCTGAGACTTTGCTGAAGTTGCTTATCATCTTAAGGAGATTTGGGGCTGAAATGATGGGATCTTCTAAATATACAATCATGTCATCTGCAAATGGAAACAATTTGACTTCCTCTTTTCCTAACTGAATACCCTTTATTTCTTTTTCTTGTCTGATTGCTCTGGCTAGAACTTCCAATACTATATTGAGTAGGAGTGGTGAGAGAGGGCATCCTAATCTAGTGCCAGTTTTCAAAGGGAACACTTCCAGTTTTTGCCCATTCAGTATGATATTAGCTGGGGGTTTGTCATAAATAGCTTTTATTGTTTTAAGATACGTACCACTGATACCTAGTTTACTGAGCATTTTTAGCATAAAGGGCTGCTGAGGCAGCAATTAATAGTCTACCAACCAAAAAAAGTTCAGGTCCAGTCAGGTTCACAGCTGAATTCTACCAAACATACAAAGAGGAACTGACATCATTCCTTCTGAAACTATTCAAAACAATACAAAAAGAGGGAATACTCCCTAACTCATTTTATGAGACCAATATCATCCTGATACCAAAACATGGCAGAGATACAACTAAAAAAGAAAATTTCAGCCAAATGTCCATGATGAACATCGATGCAAAAATCTTCAATAAAATACTGGCAAACTGAATGCAACAGTAGATCAAAAAGCTATCCATGATCAAGTAGGCTTCATCCTGGGGATAAAAGGCTGTTTCAAAATATTCAAATCTATAAACATAATCCATCACATAAAGAGAACCAAAGACAGAAACCACATGATTACCTCAATAGATGCAGAGAAGCTCTTTGACAAAATTTAACAGCCTTTAAAAATTTTAAAGGGTCAAGTAAGCTTGAAAATTCCATAAATTAGTTATTTGGACTTTTGTGCAAATGCTTATATACAAAGGACAACTCATTTTAATCTGAACTATTGTATAGCAATATTGTCCTACTATGTCAGCATAAATCCCATTCTGGAGTCACTGCTCAACGTGAAGTTGAGTGTTAGGTTTTGATTCAATTGGTAAACATCACACTTAAATTCCTCTTCACCAATTATTGGCTGTGAAGCCTCAGGACATTTATTTGCTTTGTTTTTGCCATAGTTACCTCATCTGTAAAAACCTGACCCATAGATCATTTTAAAGAATTATATAGTGTATGCGACTTGCTTATGATAGCCAAATACAGAGTAAATGCTTGACAAATGTTTGAGCTGCACATGTGTCTTTTTTTCCCGTTTACTCTGCTAGAAAATGTTACAACGATGACTAAGCAAGAAACTTACTCTACTTTTTTATTATAAGTCTAGCATATTGCATATAATATTATAGCAAATTGATTTGTAGATGAAAGAATGAATGAATGGCCTTTCTCATAATTAGAAAATATGCAAGCTCAGAAATTTAAAATAATTCATATTATAAACTAATTGCTCGATGTAGAAGAAATAGTCTGGAAGATGTCCATTTCCATTAAAAAATGCTGAAATATCCTTGTAAAACTAGAATATATTTAAGAAGTCAGAATGCATAAACATTCTTTTTCATTATTATAGGCTTTGTCTATGTGGATTTGGATTTTAAATGTATATACTAAACATAAGCAAAGTAGAAGAGAGAGGGAGAGATTATGCAGAGAGTGATTTTTTCCCTTATATTAAAAAGCTTTCTTTACTACAAGTATATTTAATCTACCTAAATATACGATGTAAGCCTGCTTTATAATAACCATAGGGTATTTCTTAAAAATGGAGAGTCTTACTTTTTAAATTATTGCTTCAGTTGAATTATAAATAAAATAATACAGTTCAGAAAGATGATCGGGAGGATAGGCAGTCTCTTTGGTCATTGGTTATCCCAATACTTCCTGCCTAGCTAGATTTCTATGACATATTTATATCTCTAGATATCTCTTTTCTCTTACACCCATGATCAGATTTGTGTCTCAAGTGCACAATAAGATGTAGTTTATATCTTATAACAGTTTAAAAATAAAAAATATATATTTTCTTTGTTCTCAGCAAAGAAACACAAATTTATTAGAAAAAACTTGTAAATGTATTAGAAGATATTATGCAATGTTGCTAAAACAAACAACACATGAATTCCATATTGTGGAAGTCACACTAATTGTAAAATATAAAATATGCTGTCATTCTAAAATTAATTGCCAATTATAGAACAGATATGAATAAAAATTTGAGGCAAACTGGTAATTTGGTGAATTGATGATTTGACAAATTTCTTAATTGAGTGATGGATTATTTTGTCCTGAATCTTTAATTCTTTTACTAAAATCTTTTAGAATAAAGCCTACCTTGGAATGCTTAAGCATCCCAGCTCTGGAATCAAACTATCCGGTGTCAAATCCTAACTCCAACATTAAATAGGTGATTAAATGATTATCCCTCTACCTCAGTTTAAGGGTGATGATTGAACGACATGATCTATGTAAAGCACTTAGCATAGTACCGGGAACACAGAAAGAACCGGATAATAACCCTATTACTGTCAAAAACATAGGAACTGACAGTCGAGGTTTACTTAGCCTGGTAATTTTGCCTTTGCAAGTTCAGAAGTACCATCAATAGTACAACTTTTGAGAGATCCTGAATACACTTCAGTCACCAAGTTTGTGCTATGATCTTTAAATAGATGTGTTTTATTATGCATTTGTTATCACTATGAATTGATTCTCTAAAAAAATACCTGTAGGTTTAGGAATTAGTCCTAATAATTAAGTTCTATCATATACCTTTGTAATTAATTTAGTTTGTTACCTTACTTTAATATTGCTTTATTTTATGTTCTTTCCCTAACCTTTTCCAGTGACTTTTGTCTCATGATTTAGAGGTTAGCAATGCTCTCGGATTTCAATATACTTATAATTAGATTTATTTAGAATGGAAGATAGCAGATACCAGATGCCATCTTGTTAGGAAGAGCTTTAAAACTTATTGAAAGTTCAAATTTACCAAGTCCACTCATACTAGGAGACTTTATGAACAGCATATATTGCAACATCAGCAATATCTGCATATACCAAATATCTCACTATATATTTTTACTTATGTTAACTTTTTAACATTTTCCAACTAAATTTCCAGTGATTTCGAGGTTTAACTCATAATTATAATTGTATTATTCTTAAAAATAAAAGCAGGTCTGGCGCAGTGGCTCACACGCATAATCCCAGCACTTTGGAAGGCCGAGGCAGGTGGATCACCTGAGGTCGGGAGTTTGAGACCAGACTTACCAACATGGATAAACTCTGTCTCTTCTAAAAATACAAAATTAGCTGGGCGTGGTGGTGTATGCTTATAATCCCAGCTACTGAGGAGGCTGAGGCAGGAGAATGGCTTGAACATGGGAGGTGGAGGTCGCCGTGAGCCAAGATCACACCATTGCCCTCCAGCCTGGGCAACAAGAGCAAAACTCCATCTCTAAATAAATAAATAGCAAGCAAATCTTCTGTCAGAAAAACAGTTATATTATGGAACATTAAATGTAACCAATTATAGGACTACCCTACTACATGAGATTATTTTGAAAGCCCTTAAATATTCATAAATGACAGAATATATAATATAAATTAAATTTCATAAGTAGTTAAAAGCTTCTGATAAAGTTTGTACTAGTAATATGGCTATATTATACAGTGTCTAAAATTTATAATTTGATTATTTGACAGCATAGAATAAGCTAAGGAAATGATTTCAATATTTCAATTTAAAAATAGTGTACAATGATTGTAATCATTGATAGCAATAATTCAATTAATATCTACCTAAGACATTAAGAATTCATGCGTTTTTGTGATAAAATAAAATGAATAGGGAAAATAATGTATTTTATATGTTATTTGTGTTCTACAGTAAGTACCATCCTCAGTCATCCTAGCTGTTCTGTATGTCAGTTTTCTGGGCCTCAATTTCTTGTCTGCATAAGAAAGTGACTGGATGAGGGGAGCCCTAGTCCAATCATTGATTCTCTATCAATGAGTCTCTCAATCTAGGACTACCTTAATTGAGACTGACTAATGCTCTGGGAGAAGGTGTTTCCTAATACATAATACCTTGATAAAATCAATTAATCAGGAAGACACGTAGGTTTAAAATTTGTTGAATGGATATGATTGGAAGATATGGAAATCTGTTGTTTCCTAATTCTTAATCCTATTTATTAATTTCTCTGCTTTAAAACTATTTTATAAGATTATATTTTTATTATTATATGGTCATACTAGAGGCATACCTTCTACTCTTAATAAAATAGTCCAACCGATGAAAGTTTGTTAATTTTGTACTCCATGCATTTATTTTCAAACATGGTCTTCTTTCAGTGCTAGGTTTCAATAAACATTTCTTAAAATGTGATGGTTTTATATTATAACTTAAAGATGATAGAGAGCTTACAGGATGATTTGCCTAATTGTGTTCCTCAGAAAAGATAATACTCAGAAAACAGAAATCAAATGAACACTTGAGTTTAACTTGTACCTGCAAGCCAGCAAAGCACTTTAAAAGTAAATCTAGCTTTATTGGTATCTACTGAAAACAGTAGGAACTATCGGATTTTTAATTTCTGGAGAGCTTAGGGGACCACATAGAGAGCATTCTTTTTTGAGTGCTTTCTGTCTGTTTCTTCCGAGAAGATAGACCTATTGACATTTTTATTATTGATTTATTTGATATACATGCCTTTCATCTCCACATTTTTCTTCTCTTTCTCCCTCCCACCTTTCTATCTAGTATACAGTGTGGACTGCCCTCTGGGTCACCTGGAATGTGTTCATTATCTGCTTTTATTTGGAAGTCGGTGGACTTTCTAAGGTGAGTTTATCATGCTTTTAAAATACGCTTTAAAATGAGTACACATCTAAGTATTGTGATTACATCCACATATATGTATATTTTACATGTGTGTGGGTATAGAATAATGAAATACTATTCAAAAAAGACTTTAGGCACCCTTTAGGAAAGAATCATCTTGGGATTATGTTAATATAATGGAACTTCAAAACAACTGCCTTCTGGTTTAGTTTGTTATACTGAAGTGGGACTCAACTTCCAGTGTATCCTCTTGTCCATTTTAAAAAGACATAATGTCATGGTGACTGCAGGCCTAAATGTTAAGTAGAAAATGGTTTTGAACATGCTTGTGTTTAAAGTAGAAAAAGGGAATAATGAAGATGTTAACATAACAAACACGAATGGCAAGTTTCTATCTTTGCTGGAATATTAATTCTGGAAAAAAAATGCCAAAGAATGAAATCCTTATATAGGTAAGTAGAGCCCACATTTACTAAGAAGAAAATGCATCAGTGTGGTGATTCCTATTTTGAAATTTTAACCACACAGAAGACAGTTGTCTTAATGGAGTAACGACGCACACGTTATTTCTGCCTGTCTAGAACTGTCAGCAAAGCACATGATTTTATTATGCCTCCTACAGAACTGTCTCACCACCCAAGTGTAAGAACAACTTGTTTCTAGTTGTGTTTCTTAAACAGGTTTTGTGTGAACTAGCATAATTTTCACTCTAGAGAGGAAACCTAACAGTATAATTCCAAAAAGTATAAGAAAGCTGTCATCCTTTAAAACTTCCCATTATCAAATATATTTATGCTAACTTATTCTACTGTTTTATATCAGTCTCAAATTTTCTAAGTAATTTACTTGTGGTTTAGATTTTAGAAAATGTGTCTTGAGCAGCAAGGATACTTTCAGAATCAGGTTCCATTGAAGTTCATGTGGTAACAAAACATGTTTGATTCAACCAAGCAGCAAAAATCCCTGAAGGATTTTTTCCAGAGCCTCCAGAGGTGATTACTCTTTTTTTCTCCACTATAATAACTGTAATTAGAACTTGTCACCATTTGCTCACATTGGCAAATGTATTCAGGAACCAGAAGTAATATTTCCAAAACTGAGTTCCATACATTTGGACTAACATGTAACTTAAATAATTGTGCTATCGACTGTAGTTCACCACTAATTTCTAAGACAGAAAAAAATACTTAAATTAATGCCCAGTTACATTATATAAATGCAGATTATAAAGTAAATAATTTTCAGATGCAAGTCTTATAAATAAAATAATTACAAATAATATGCTAAGCACATTTTCAACCCATTGCATTTTGTATCTTGTGATTTGAATGGTCATTTTAATTAAATTTTTTATTTCACTGGGTAGAAATTATTATCTTTTCTTCTATATAAACTAATTTGGGATAAATTAGACCAAATAAATTTGTCCTATGTAATTGGCATCATAGTGTTTGGAAAGAAGGCTGAATTTTGAATCATAAGTCTTTAGCTCAAATCTTGTCTTTAGCACTTATTAACTGTGAACTCTGCAGCAAATCATTTGGCTCCATGGAGTCTTGGTGAAAACTGGTAAGACCAGCTTTTCCCATAATAATAGTAGTTAATGTTTATTATACACATGATATGTGGTAACTCAGGTGACCTTTAAAACAAATCTGTGAAGTGATAAAACAAATAAGTAAATATCAGCAGTCATATTTTTCATATAACTCTGATTTCCCACTGCTGCTCAAGATAATTTTTGTGAATTGCTTGTTGTAACTGCTTTTTGAATGTCCATGTGCATGTCTAAAAGTTGTATCTCATTTCTTTGGGTGCAAGGTTGAAAACATGGACGTAGTCATCCTGGTTATTTATTTTATTACCTATTTAAATGCCATTAAGCAGTCAATCAAGTAGTCTATGTCATTAAAAAGATAGATGACCCCAAAAGGAACATCCTAAAGATTTTCTGTTTGTCTCCTATTTACTGCCTCAAAGACCGGTAACATCTCCCTGGTTAGCCACAGTTTAGCCTCAATTCCAATCTGTAGGAAATCTATTTTGGAAAATAAAGTGGAGTTAAGGACCCTTGACAAACACAAATACCTAGCCACTTTTCCAGACTGGTTCGATTGTGTAAGAAACTCCTTGTCTGTATGAGTTGGCTTATATACTAACTTTCTAGATTCTCTCTCCTGCTAGTTCATGAATGTATTTCTTGGAATTATTCATTCAGATAGATTAATAGAAACCTCCCTATACTTTCAACTTGGTCCAAAATATACATTCTGGTATAGCGAATCTTTCTTTAAAAATAGGATCCAGAGTAACTTCCACGACATCTCTGTGGATTTGGATGTTATTCCAATGACAGATACGGCCTATAAATAGTACATTTGTATGCTATGTTGTTCTTTTGCTAACAGTTTGCATTCCTTGAGTGACAGTCATCCTGTCTCACGTGAAAGGTAGTGAGCAATCTTATGGGCTGGAGTGCCTGGAAACGGAGATTCTTACAATACTTGGTAGGCTAACATTGCTGTGTATTCTTGTGTTTTAAAAAGATCATTTTAATTCCTAGTAAGATAAATACTGATAGCTGTAATCCACATAAGCAAAAGCTGTTTAGGATCCTCATTAACATTTAAGAGTATAGACAGGTGCTGAGGCCAAGAAGCTTGAGAACCACTCCCATAGAATAACCAGTATGACTAACTAGCTAAATAAAAATAATATAAACAGTAAGAAACCGAAGAAGATGGTACAAATAAGAAACAAATAACAATATGGTAGATTAAAATACAATGATGTCAATAATTATATGAAATATAAACAGACTAAACACTCCAGTTAAAGACAGAGATTAGAACAATGGATTTTTTAAGAAGACAATACTTTATGTTATTTATATGAAATACATATTAAATATAAACACATATATGTACGGAAATTAAAAAGATGGAAAATATATGCCATGCAAACAGTAATCAGAAGAAAACCTCTGTGGTCATACTGATGTCAGAAAAAAAGTAGACTTCAAATAAAGAGTATGAATAGAGATAAACAGATGTTTATAATGATAACAGGGTCAATGTATTAAATAGACACAACAATTCAAAACTACATCAAATAACTGAATTTTAGAATATATGAGGCAAAAATTGGAAATATTAAAGGGGGAAATTGGCAAATCCATTAACATGGGGGAGAGTTTAATACTCCATTCTTGCTTATTGAGAGAAAAAGTAGGCACAATTCAATACAAATAAAATATTTTAACACTATCAAACAATTTGTCTGTCATATAGAGGATATAACACTTAAAATTACAAGATAAATTTTCTATTAGTGTGCTGAACAATGACTAAGATGGTATTCTGGGCCATAAGCAAGTCTCAATAAATGCTGAATGACTGAAATAATAAAGATAATATTTTCCCACCACAAATATAAGAAAAATTTATAAATGTTAATAAATCACAAATGAGAAATTTAGAAGAAAATTGAAAAATAGTTCAAAGTTAACTCTTATTTGTGGATGAATTTCTAGCAGTATTTAGAGGAAGAAATGTAGCTTTAAATTGATATTAGAAAAAAAGTTAAACATCAATGATATACACTTCCATCCTAAGAAGAGCAATTTGACTAACATCCTATTGTTGGTTCTTTGTAAAGATTAATAAACCAATAAGCACATAGTAAGGTTGATCCAAAAAAGAAGAAACATTACAAATGATCAATTCATTAAAGAAAGAAGTGACATAACTACAGATTCAACAGAAACTTAAAAATTAATAGAAAAAAATTAAAAATCAATATTGACAGCCATGAATTTATAATTAAAAATCTTTCTACAAAAAAAGAAAATCAAAACAGAAACAATTGGTATGCAATTGGTTAAGAAAACAGAGTTTTCTGTTTAAAAATTGTGGAATTACCAGATGGATTAAAGACTTAAACATAGGACCTAACACCATAAAAACCTTAGAAGAAAATCTAGGCAAAACTATTCAGGACATAGGCATAGGCAAGAACTTCATGACTAAAACACCAAAAGCATTGGCAACAAAAGCCAAAATAGACAAATGGGACCTAATCAAACTCCACAGCTTCTGCACAGCAAAAGAAACAGTCATTAGAGTGAATCATCAACCAACAGAATGGGAAAAAATTTTTGCAGTCTACCCATCTGACAAAGGGCTGATATCCAGAATCTACAAACAACTAAAACAGATTTACAAGAAAAAAACAAACAAGCCCATTCAAAAGTGGGCGAAGGATATGAACAGACACTTTACAAAAGAAGACATAAATGAGACCAACAAACATATGAAAAAATGCTCATCATCACTGGTCATTAGAGAAATGCAAATCAAAACTACATTGAGATACCATCTCATGCCAGTTAGAATGGCAATTATTAAAAAATCTGGAGACAACAGATGCTGGAGAGGATGTGGAGAAATAGGAACACTTTTACACTGTTGGTGGGAGTGTAAATTAGTTCAACCATTGTGGAAGACAGTGTGGTGATTCCTTAAGGACCTAGAAATAGAAATTCCATTTGACTCAGCAATCCCATTACTGGGTATATATCCAAAGGATTATAAATCGTTCTACTATAAGGGGACATGCACACGAATGTTCATTGCAGCACAGTTTACAATAGCAAAGACCTGGAACCAACCCAAATGCCCATCAATGATAGACTGGACAGGGAAAATGTGGCACATATACACCATGCAATATTATGCAGCCATCAAAAACGATGAGTTTTAAGCTTAATGAATAACATTTTCATGTTGTTACTGAAGTCTTGGCTAATATTTTTAATGTTTGTGTAGTATTACATCAAACATCAATAATTTTCTTCTGCTGTTTTTTTAGCAGAGATGTTAAAGGCCCCTCATACACTTTGCTAAATTTCCTCCCGAAAAAGTATACCATTATTTGCAAAATTTGAGTATCTAGGGTGTTATTAGCACAAGTTTACCTGTTTCATCATTTTGGGGTTTTTG